GCTGCAGACCCTTCCCCACAGGTGCCCACCCGAGAGCCCTCCTCTGTCTGTCTCAGCATTCACTTCCTGGAGACTCTGACCTGCAAAAGGAGTCTGAGAAAGCAGATTCTGAAGCAGGATTTGGGGGCCAGATCACGCCCCTGCATGCTGGCAGGGAGGCCCGGTGCCAAGTGGAGGGGAAGGCCACGTGAGTCACCGTGTCTTAGGTTTCATCCTCGCTTGGCTCCCAGGGCTGAGGTTTGTCCTGTGATCCCTTCTGAGCTTACCCTTTTTATGTCTTTTGATAGAATAAATGCTTCATCTTTGTTTTCAACATATTTGCTACACTTTCTATTTTTTTCTTTTTTTTGTTTTGTCTTTTTATTGCTTTATATTCTTTTTCAATATTATATATATACACGTGTGTGTGCATGTATGTATATATTTGTTCTGCTTGTTGCTTTTCAGTAGAGACTGGGTCTCCCTATGTTGCCCAGGCTGGTCTTGAACTCCTAGGCTCAAGCGATCCTCCCGCCTCGGTCTCCCAACGTGCTGGGATTACAGGTGTGAGCCACCACACCCGGCCCTGCTTTTTTTTTTTTTTTTTTCTATTCATTTTCTTTTATGGCCATCTTCTCTCTCATTATCTTAGATTTTCAATTTGTCTTGCTTTGTGCTGTGATTTGAATGATGGTGTCCCTCCAAAATTAATGTTGAAACTTAATCTGCAATGCAACTGGATGAAAAGGTGGGACCTCTGGCAGGAGGTTAAGTCATGAGGGCTCTGCCCCCAGGAATGGGATTAGCACCCTTATAACCCGGTCGAAGGGAGCACTCTTTGCCCTTCCATCCCTTTTGCCACGTGAGGATTCGGCATTCCTCCCTTTGGAGGCACCGTCTTGGGTGCAGAGACCAGTCTCTCCCTGGACACCAAAGCTGTCAGCACCTTGATCAAGGCTGTCCAGACTCCAGAACTGTGAGAAATAAATTTGTTTCTCTATAAACCCTCATCTGCGGTGCTTCATCATAGCAGCACAGATAGACTGAGATGCTTCTTCCGTTTTATTAAACCTTTCAAAATGTGACTCAACCCCGTCTCTACTAAAAAACACAAAAATTAGCTGGGCGTGGTGGCTCGTGCCTGTAATCCCAGCTACTTGGGAGGCTGAGGCAGGAGAATTGCCTGAACAGGGACCCAGGAGGTGAGGTAGGGGTGAGCTGAGATGGTGCCACGGCACTCCAGCCGGGGCTACAGAGTGAGACTCCATCTCAAAAAAAAAAAAAAAAAAAAAAAGTGACTCATGCTCTGTGGCATAGGTCTCCAGGACACAGACTTTGAGACACAGATTATGTGCAGGAATATTGTGGGGGTCACTCTTGGGGTCAACGCCTGTCGGAGAGTGAAGGAAGGAGGGCTGGAGGGAGGGAGGAGCGAGCTGGGATGACAGAGCCTCCTCCAATCCCACAGGACCTCTGCAGCCTCACGGTTGGCCCCAGCTGGTCACAGGTGCCTGGGTCCTTATAGATCCGAACCAGCCCGTCGCTGATGCGGGCAGCCCCTCAGAGGGATACTTGGCCCTGAGCAGAGGGGGAAATGAGGGTTTCATGATGCACCCCACACCCACTACCGGCCGCCCCGTGAACTGCTAACAGCTCCTCCAGGACCTTGTTAGGCCTCTTTTTCTGGGGAAATTTTGCAAGGAAAACATGGCTTGGTTGAGCTGCAGCCCCCCTGCTGCCTCATGGCTGCCACGGATTTGTCACCCCCAGCTCCACCACATTCACCATCTGCGCCAAGAGGCTTAGCGACGTGGCGACCTGGACCCTCGTCCAGGGGATGCCACGCCTCCGTCAAATGTGAAAGCTGCCCGCCGACCATGAAAACCAGGCAGAGAAGGAACAGAGATCCTAGAGTGGAGGCTCACACGGTGCATCTCCTCCAACGATGCGTCCGGTCAAACTGCTGTGCCAGTGCTGGGGCACCCTCGCCAGCCTCTCCTCTGCAGGTCTCTGCTCAAGGTTCACTGCTCTTTATTTTCTCTCTTTCTCTCTCTTTCCTTCTCTCTCTTTCTTTTTCTTTCTCTTTCTTTCTCTCTCTCTCTCTTTCTTTCTTCTTTCCTTTTCTCTTTCTTTCTTTTCTTTTTGAGACAGAGTCTTGTTCTGTCACCAGGTACCAGGCTGGAGTGCAGAGGCGCCATCTCGGCTCACTGCAACCTCCGCCTCCCGGTCCCGAGTTCAAGCAATCCTCCCACCTCAGCCTCCGGAGTAGCTGGGACTCCAGGTGCGCACCACCACGCCCGGCTAGTTTTTGTATTTTTTAGTACAGACGGGGTTTCGCCATGTTGGCCAGGATGGTCTCGATCTCTTGACCTCCTGATCTGCCTGCCTCAGACCCCCAAGGTGCTGGGATTACAGGCGTGAGCCACCGCGCCCGGCCTACTGCTGTTTATTTTCTGAGTTTTACTTCACGTTATGCTCGTAGAATAATTGCAGGAATCAGTATGGTAGAAACCATACTGGCAGGGCGTGGTGGCTCACGCCTGTAATCCCAGCACTTTGGGAGGCTGAAGCGGGCGCATCACCTGAGGCCAAGAGATCGAGACCATCCTGGTCAACATGGTGAAACCCCGTCTCCACTAAAAATACAAAAGTCATCCAGGCGTGGTGGCGCACACCTGTAGTCCCAGCTACTCGGGAGGCTGAGGCAGGAGAATTGCTTGAACCCAGGAGACGGAGGTTGCAATGAACCAAGATCATGCTAGGCTGCACACCAGCCTGGGCAACAGAGCAACACTCTCTCTCAAAAAAGGAAAAAAAAAAAAAAAAACCTCCATACCCATGTCCAAACTCAGCTGCTAACACTCACTGCCTTGTTCACTTCATCAGTTTTCTGTGTGTTTTTTTTGAGACGGAGTTTCACTCTTTTGCTCAGGCTGCAGTGCAGTGGCGCAATCTCAGCTCACTGTAACCTCCGCCTTCTGGGTTCAAGTGATTCTCCTGCCTCAGCCTCCCTCAGGCGTCCTTCTGTTTCCCAGGTAGCTGGGGTTATGGGCGCCCACCACCACACCTGGCTTTTTTTTTTTTTTGAGACAGAATCTTGCTCTGTCGCCTGGGCTAGAGCGCAGTGGTGTCATCTCAGCTCACGGCAACCTCCATTTCCCGGGTTTGAAAGATTCTCCTGCGTCGGCCTCCTGAGTAGCTGGGATTAGAGGCACACACCACCACATCCAGCTAACTTCATTTTTAGTAGAGACGGCGTTTCGTGTTAGCCACAATGGTCTCGATCTGATCTTATGATCTGCCTACCTCGGCCTCCCAAAATGCTAGGATTACAGGCATGAGCTACCGTGTCGGGCTCCAGCCATCATGCCCGGCCCCTAATTTTTGTATTTTTAGTAGAGACAGGGTTTCACTATGTTGCCCAGGCTGGTCTTGAACTCCTGAATTCAAGTGATCCTCCCAGCTCTGCCTCCCAAAGTGTTAGGATTACAGGTGTGAGCCACCGTACCAGGCCACGATACCCTTCTGTTCACCCAAGCCCTCATCTAACATCTGTGTGATGACTCTTGCCAAGCTGTCTCTTAGGAATCTTCTCTGGTTGCTCCAGGCGGACTCAAGCCCTCGTCTTCCAGCCCTCCACCTGTGACAGCACAGCACCCCCTCTTACACCTGTTCATGCATCTTCCTGCTTCACTGGACCTCTGGCCACCCCGCACCCAGGTGAGGACTGCATAAGGTGCACGTTTCGTCCACCGACGGACTGAAATGAGTAATAATAAATGAGTAATAGATGAATGAACCAACCCGTTGCACAAATCAGTGAGGACTCTTGAACACGAGGGCCAGAACCCTCCATCTGAATGACACCAACCCCCAAAAACGGAGTGAGGATAGACCCCTCCAGAGTGGTTCTTCTCTCTTCAGGTTGGTGAGCTCTCAGAGGACTGAGTGATGCTTTTGTGTCTGGCATCCAGGGTGGTGCATGTCAAGTCCTCCGTGTTCATTGGCTGATCACCGGGAAACTCGATTCTTTCTCTCCCCGTGTCCCTGCTCTGGGTCTCGGGTGGAACGGCCCTCCACCCCTCTGTGCAGCCCATACAGCCGGAGGCCATGCTTCACTCTTTCTCCAGCTTCCCTCCGTCACTGAGTCCTGTGCTGCGGACGTCCCCAAGTCTCTCTGCACTCTGTCCAGGCCCCGCGTCTCCCACCTGGCCCCTGCCTCGTCACAGCCCCCGGCTTGCTCCCCTCTCAGTGCATCGTGTGCCCTGAAGATGCACGACACTTAATTTGAAGTGTGGTGGGTCCTTGCCTTCCCATCCTCCATCTAAGCGCCCTGAAGACAGGCGTTGGTTCTGACTCCCTGGGACCCTCCCCGGGAGCCTGGCGCAGGATCAGAACGTGCACGTGTTCCAGGAACGTTCCGTCAGCGAACAACGAGGGACTGCAGATAGAGACGGGGTTTCACCATATTGGTCAGACGGGTCTGGAACTCCCGCCCTCAGGGGATCCACCCGCCTCGGCCTCCCCAAGTGCTCGGCCCGGACTGCAGGTTCTAGAAGCTCTCCGATTCCCCGGCTCCCCAACTCGTTCCTCCAGGGGCTACTTTGCTCATCCCGGGTGCAAAAGTGCAGAAAGTTCCAGAACCACGCCGCCCGGGCCCCAGTTCTGGCGGTGTCCCTGACGCTCTGGGTGGTCCGTCGCCCTGGGCCTCAGTTTCCCCGTCTGCCACGCGGGGTGCTAACGGCGAGCAGCCGCGGGATCGGCGAGGGCACACGGACCCACGTGACCCCGCGCAGGTGTGGCGTCGGGAGCTCGCGTTCTTGTGGAACGCCTCGTTCCCCGCCACGGCCAAGGCCGAGCCCAGCGTCCGGCGGAGACTGCCCGGAGGACACGCTCGGCCGCGCGCCCGCGCCCCTACTACGCGCCCGGACGCTCTCCGCCCCCTCCAGGCTCCGCCCCTCCAGGCTCCGCCCCGACCCCGCCCTCCGGGCGCCGTAGCCAATGAGCGCGCGGACCCGCATCCGGGGATCCCGGAGCGGCCGCCGCCTCCCGCGCACACACGGCCATGGCGGAGGTGAGTGAGCGGGCCGGGGGAGCCGGCCCCCCGCCCCCGCGCGCCCGCGTCCCCCGCCGCCCTGGCGGGGCCTCGTCGTGGGCCCCGGGGGTGGACAGCACCGCTCTGGAGCTCTGTGGCCGGCCGGGGCGCCTGGCCCGTCCGGGGCCGGAGGGGCGCGGGGCTCCGTCGGCGACCGCCCCCGGCCCGGCCCGGCCCCCCCTCCCGGCTGCCACATCGCGGGCTGCAGTGCGCATGCGCGGCGGCGCGGGGCGCGCGGGGGCCGGGGTGGGGGAGGGGAGGGCGCGGGGCGGGGGCGGGGGTCGGGGGGCGCGCGGCCCCACTCCGGCTCCCGTTCCCGGCCCGGCCTCGCGGCGCGCGGGCCTCCGTTTCCTGCGCGTTTGCCAACTTTGCCGAGTGCCGGGGCCGCCAGGCGCCCCGCGCTCCCCGTCGGGATCCCGGTGGACCCACCGCGCCTCCGCCGCCGCGAGTCCCCCCGGTGGGGCCGGCGCCGACCCCGGGCGGGATTCGAACTCCCGACGCGGACCCGCCTGGCGCAGACCGGGCGCAGGGGGTGGGGGGGTCTGCCGGGGCCTAGAGCGCGTCGGGGCCGATCTCAGCAGAGTTGGACCAGCCTCGCCCGGGCGCGAAGTTACTTCTGGAGCCGCCTCCCCCGTCCGGGACGCGAGCCCCGGACCCTGCGCCCCAGATCGTCGGGGCCGGCCGTATGTGGGAGCCCGGAGTTTTTGCGATTTGAGGATCCGTGGGGTTTTGGACCGTGATGTTGGATCAAACCCACCTAGGACTGTCTGGATAAGAGCTTCGCGTCAGGTCAGACCAGGAGGAAGAAACTTTCGCCTTCGGAGCTTTTTGTTGATTCTGGAGTGCTGGATGAGCCTGTGTGGACTTGCCTTCACCGTGCAGGGTCCCGGTGAACACGGAGTGAGATAATGTGGGCGAAGGTACGGCGGCTGCGAGGTCCTCAGCAAACGGGGCTCGATCCAGAAGTTACGACGGGCAGGCAGGCTTAGGAACTGGTCCTTATCTCTGGGCCGCAGGGCCCGGAGGAGGAGGTGCCCACCCAGCCAGGCACAGCCACCTCGTGGGAAGCCGGCATGGGAAATGCGGCCTGGCCGTGGGGCCGCGTTGCGTGTTTATGCCTTGGCAGCACGCGAGTGGGCGTCCTGGAGAGCAGGTCTGGCCATTCTCTGCCCCTGGTCACCTCCTCAAGGGGCAGCAGCAGGCCCCGTGTTTGTGCCACAGACGGTGGAGGTGTGTCGATGCCAGGCCAGGCCTCACCAGCCAGTCCCTTCATAGAGAGCTGGTTCTTGAGATATTTTCGGAGGCTGAGTCCAGGGTCAGAGGCGGAAGCTCCATCTCCCAGTGGCCTTGGGAGACGTGGTGGCCGAGTGAGTGTGTGCTCCTGGCATCTCTCCTGGGAGTGAGGTGGCGTTTGGGCAGCACACGACCTCACAGGTAGCTGTGTGTCCGGGACGGCGCAAGTCAGACTCCCAAGCCAGCCTCCCCCAGAGCTGCGTGTGGCCATCAGTTCTGCCCTGCCTTGGGCTGAGCTCCTCCTCAAGTGCACACAGCGGTTCGTTGTCTGGGTGCTCCTGGGAACCCTGTTTTACAGTTTGGAGTGGTGCCCAGTCGAGTGAATTTGATCTTATTTATTTTTTGAGATGGAGTCTTGCTTTGTCACCCGGGCTGAAGTGCAGTGGCTTGATCTCCGCTCACTGCAACCTCCGCCTCCTGGGTTCAAGCAGTTCTCTGCCTCAGCCTCCTGAGTAGCTGGGATTACAGGTGCCCGACACCACACCTGGCTAATTTTTGTATTTTTATTAGAGACGGGGTTTCACCACGTTGGCCAGGCTGGTCTTGAACTCCTGAGCTCGTGATCCACCCACCTCGGCCTCCCAAAGTGCTGCGATTACCAGCGTGAGCCACCGCGCCAGCTTGATTTGATTTTCTAAGGAGGTCTTGCTCTGTTCTCGGCCCTGAGGGTCTGGGAGTGAATGGAGCAGACAGAGCCTGTCCTACAGGGATGCAGAGTCTGGTCAGAGAGAGGCGTGGATGGGTTGGCACCAGCAGGCATGAGGGCGCTGAGCGTGGGGAGCCATGGCGGCCCCTTCGACCACCGGGCTTGTTCTGCTTGGGCCTGGGCGGGTCGCCGGATGGCTCAGAACTTCCTCTTCTCATCTCTGAAATGGGAAGCCCGTGGTCGACCTTCAGAGCTCAGAGGTCCGATGAGGTCCTGCCGTAGTGGCTTGTGCATGGAAGTTGAGCCTTGTGGAGCTGACAGCATTCCACTGTTTTTAACCCGTAAGAGTGGCAGTTTGTAACTCAGTAGCATGTGCTCAGTATTAGCTGCTTTATTCTGGTATCATTATCTCGGAATAATCGTAAGCACCACAGTGGCAGGCGGGAATGCTGTGTGCTGTTCTCAGAGACGCTAGATTAATCTTGTAGAAACATAAGAGTTTGTTACTCCTGCCTAAAGTCCTCCATGACTTTCTGTGGTCGCTTGGACAAAGTGCTCTTGTTGAGACCCCCCCAGCTCTGTGGGGTGGTCTCCACCGAGCCACCCCCAGTCTAGGGCCCTGGGCTCCTTCGTTTGCTGGAGCACTCTGCCCCTTGGGGGGGGGTGCCAGCGGGTGGTCCCACCTCTCCTCAGGACCCCTGGCCTTCCCTGACTCCCACTTGAGAAGCCCCTGCACCCTGTTTTCTTCCCTTGGTCCCATAGGCGTCCACTTGTTTATCTCTGTCCAAAACTGGTAGCTCCGTGTGGGTGGAGGCAGGTGGAACTTGTTTCTTGGGCTAGCAGAGTGGGCGCTCTGGGAGCGTTGGTCAGATGGAGGAGTGGGTGCTGGGCGGTCCAGGAGGGCCTGGCTCTGTAGTTTGTGTGGGTGGGGAGAAGGTCAAGGATGGCTCTTGGAAGGAGGTTGTCCCAGTCGCCCCCGGAGGAGAGCTTGTGGGCTGGGAGGTGTGGGTGCAGCCATCTTGGCGAATGAAACTTGCCTCCGTGTGATTTTGGGTTAAGCGTTGAAGGGTGGCCCCTTCTGGTTTCTGGCACAGTCTGCAGCTTTGGGGGCTGCCGAGGAATTGGAGGCTGCCCTCGCGGAAGGGCTGTCCTGTGCACCGCACCCAGGCCTCTGGCTCAGCCTTTATGCTGAGGAGCTGGCGGCTGCCTCTGCTCCCAGAAGACCTTGGTGGCCGCTCTGGTCTGTGGCCTGCTGTCCTCGGGACCTTGTTTCTAGAGTGTCGCTTGTGCTCCCTTCTCTTTTTCGTTACCTGGAATACCCTTGGCCTGCTCCCCATCTTTTTCTTGCTTCCACTTTGACAAAACAGAGGCCTTTGGCTTTCCTGGAGTGAACTCAGAGGGAAACCTCCAGAGTGTTCTCGGTGAGGGAAGTGTGGCCCCGGGAATCTGCTGGTAGAGTAAACGTGGTCCTGGACGCCAGGCAGGGCAGCGGGAGGGAAGAAGGTCCGTGAAGTCTGTATTCCGCGGTAAGTTCCAGGAACTCGGAGTCACGTGGACGTGAACTTGGGACTCCCAGGCTGCTCACGGCCTCCTGTTGGTAGCTCTTTCTGCTGCCCCCAGCTGCTTCCCTCTTTGCCCCGCTCTGCCTCAGCTCCCCTGTTAAATGGCACGTCAGATAAGGGCCAGATCCTCCTCAGACCCCACAGACCACCTCTCCTGGGGCCAGATGTGATTTCACTCTGTGTGGACCTCCAGCCTGCGGGGCTGTTGTCAGCTTGCCTTCCAGACCGGGGGCCTCATCTGATGTCGTTGCCTGCCCTCCCCTTGCCAGGCTCCTGCTTGCAGGAATGGAAAGCCAGCCCCTGACTGAGGCGGGAACCATTGCCCAGAGAGCCTCCCCTTGACCCCTACCCAGAGGGTCGCGGAGAGGGCCGAGGGTGACTTCGGCGGTCGCTTAGGGTGCTCTCCCTGTGGCGTCACGCCGCTTGTGGCTGTGCAGAGTGGTCGTGGGCTGGTAGCCCCCTGCCGTTTCCTGGAAAGCCATGAGGCCGTCTCTGCCAGACCCGACCGACCATAGGGCAGGAGGTGTGAGCTGCTCCTGCAGCCGCCAGGCACTCTGCCCGCCTGTGTGCTGCCGTCCCCAAGCCCCTTCCCACCGCGGCCTGCTGTGGCTCTTCCTTCCCTCTGCCACCGCAGAGCTAGACTTTCTGAAGCTGGATGGGGCATGTCACTGTCCGCTTAGAGCTTGAGGTTCTCCTTGGTCCTCGCCAGCCTCGTTGCTGCAGTCAGCCCAGGGCCAGTGGCCGCCCCAGCCCCCTTCACAGCTCCGATATATACTGCTGTATCCTTGGCCCTTGAACCTCACGGGTTTGAACTGCGCGGGTCACTTACACATGGATTTCCTTCCACCTCTGCCCCGTGGATTTCCTTCCACCTCTGCCCTACCCGAGACAGCAAGGCCAACCCCTCCCCCTTCTCCTCCTCCTCAGCGTCTCAGCCTGAAGATGACCAGGGTGAAGACCTTTAGGATGATCCACTTCCACTCACTGAATAGTAAATATATTTTCTGTTCCTTAGATTTGCCTTCACCTTTTCTGTAGTTGCTTTTCTTGGTAAGAAAACAGTACATCATACAACATAGGAAATACATGTGTGTTAACTGTGTATGTTACCAGTAAAGCTTCCGATCAGCAGGAGGCTGTCAGTGGGGTTTTGGGGAGGCGGAAGTTGATGCATGGGCTTTTACCTGTGTGCCGGGCTGGCACCCACAACCCCCACGTTGTTTAGGGGTCAGCGTGCCATCCTTGTGCCCCCAGGAGTGCCGGGCTGGAAGGGTCTGCGGGCTGCCGGCCTGAGCCTGATGGTGCCCTTGCTGTGTGAGCTTGGGTGGCTCACTGTCTCCTTGAGCGTCTTGCCTTGTTTTTCTTAGGCAGGGAATGAGCGTGCCACCTCTGAGGTTTTACTTGAGGACCCGTGGAGAAATCCGTGTTGAAAATCTTACTAAACAGGTGTTTAAACTTCATTAAATACTTTACGCTTTTTGGCAGCAGCTTTACTGAGGTATGATTCATTTACCGTGCAGCTTAGCCATTCAAATGCGTGCAGTTCAGTGGTTGTTCATGCATCCATCGAGTTGTGTGGCCACCATCACAGTCAATTCTAGAACATTTTCATCACTCTAAAAGGAACCCCACACCCCTTTGTGGTCACGCCCCAACCTCACATCTACCCCCCAACCCCTTTCGACCAGGAATCTACTTTCTGTCTCTACGATTTGCCTGCCCTGGACTTTAGAAATAAAATGAGTCATACGATACGTGGCCTTTTGTGTCTGGCTGCTTTTGGGAGCGTGGCACCTGTGAGGTCCATCCACGTGGTAATGTCAGCACTTCCTTCCTTTGTCTGATCGCGAGTCCCTTGTTTGGTGTTTGTCAGCCGATAGAAATTAGGATCCTAACCTGGGTCGTGTGGTTAAATATCATTTACCTTTTGGAGACGTTGCTGGACCTATTTCCAGAGTGGCTGCAGCATCTTACATTCCCGCCAGTGGGGCAGGAGAATTCCGATTTGTCTGTGTCCCTGTCAGCACCTGTCCTCTGTCTGTCTGAGCGTCGTTCTCTGAGGAGGAAGTCGGGTCCCAGTGTGGATTTTGCTTCCTTTTCCCTGATGCTGCACTGAGCGTCTCTTCCTGTGCCACTGCCCATTTGTGCGCCCTCTTGGGAGAAACGTCTGTTCAGATCCTTTGCCCATTTCTTGGTTGAACGGTCTTTTTCTTATCGAGTTGTAAAAGTTCTTTTTTTTTTTTTTTTTTTTTTTT